CCTGCTGACATGGTTCTGAGAGAGTTTGGAGAGTATTTCTTTGAATTCTGTAAACGCTCAGGCTATGACCACATGCTGAGGACACTGGGTGGAAATCTCTATGAGTTCATAGAGAACCTGGATGCATTGCACAGCTACCTGTCCCTTTCTTACCAGGCAAGTTCAAGTAGCAATTACTGAGCAGGTACGGGTGGACTCTGCTGGAGTTTGCAACTGCAGGAGCAGCGTCTCAGGTGTGAACAAATAATGGAAAAAAGATGCAATAACAGGCTCTCTTATGTTCTGAGACGTATTACTACAAAATGTTATGACAATTTTTTATAATTGTTTTTTTCTAAATATTCCTCAACAGTAGATATTATTCAGTCCATTGGCTGAATAGTATATTTGCATATATATACTAGACATGTAAAATATGCATAGTATATTTTCCTTCACAGATAGGCATATTTAATTTTCTATATTTCAGCTTATTCAGATTACTGCTTATTTTATTAGGACACGGGATGCTTTTGTACAAGTGGAATTCACCAGCAAAAGATATTGAAGTTTTGTTTTTGTTTGTTTTTCCTCAGGAGATGAATGCTCCATCTTTTAGAGTAGAAAAGAATGAAGACGGGTCAATGCATTTACATTACTATTCAGATAGAAGAGGTCTGTGCCATATTGTGCCAGGTAATCAGATAGAATGCACATTGCAGATCAGCTGGTAATGCAGTATATATACAGAGTAATCATATATTTGCAGGTATACTTTGCTCCAGTTTCAGAATCTTTTTTCAGAGCAGCACTGGCCATGGAGTTGAAGCCTGGTAGAGTTTAGTCACCAGATGTCTGACCTTGGTATTTCCCTACTGTCTGATCACTCCTAGCTCTCAGTAGCTTCAACAACATTTATGATGTGACACCCCAGGCCATAAGTGTCTGTTCCTGCTATAGAATTCCTGTAGAACTCCTACAGAATTCCCTCCTTGGAAGAAAAATTGACGTTCATGGTGTCTATTGTGTCTAACTGTTGATTAGTTCTCAGTGACTCGTGCTCCTTAAATTACAGTGAGGTACAAATTACAGTTGATTTGAAGACATCCATCCATCCTGTTATAAATACTCATGCAGAACACGCAATCTGTAAAGGCACTATTGAACCCTGTTGAACACTGAATCTTCCCGGCATTAATAGGAATCTCCACAGTTGTACTTGTGCGAGGGTTAAACAGCTGTAAGTCTGTAAGACATTATCATATTCCTTTCTTTCATAGATGCTGCTGAATTTAGAAGTTTATCAGTTATCAGGAGTTCCCTCTTTGTCAAAACTCATTTTGTATTCCTATCAAAGCCCAGAACTATTTGGAATTTCAGACAGAGCTTTTCATGTCATTTTCCAGTATCTCGCCTAATAGCTCAACAGAAATGAGAGGACTGATTGTGCATCTCCATGAAAGATATTTCCTTCCTTTAAAAGAAAATGCTCTGCAATGACTGAAAGAGATTGTTACAGCAGTATCTCTTTAGACCCTGTGCATTTTTGGAGTTAATAGGAATTGATATTATTGTTATGTGTGACTATTTTGGACATATTCTGCAGATATCCTGCTGAGCTGCTTCTAGTGAAAATAGGCATTTGTCATCAGACAAGACAAAAGAAACAGTAACTTATCTCCTATGCACTTATTCTTATCACGGTAACGGTAGTAGGAACGACATAGGTTGCTTTCTTCTTCCAGAGTCCTTTGGAAAAGTGATTTCTGAAACAGTGAAATTCCATTGTGGGCCCTCTAAAAGGGAAAATGGAAAGGGTTTGTTCTTGGCAATACCTTGTCTTTTGTTTCCCCTTCAGGAATCATCGGTGCAGCAGCCCTGGATTTTTTTAACATTGAGATTTCAATGGAAATAGTCAATCAAATGGAAGAAGAAGAACGAACTGGGAAAAAAGAACATATTGTTTTTCTTGTCACTCAAAACCCTGCATTTTCGTACAAGGAAAGAAATGAATTTTCTTCCTCGTCTCAATATCTTGCTGACTCTGAAAAACAAATTGAGAACCAACTATCTAAAGAGGTATTTTAATATTCATTATCACTGTATTATTATAATAGGATTAAAATAAAAACACCCTTGAGTTTCCCTTGGGATTTATTTCAGCAAAACAGGACCTTGAAAAAGCCAAGAATACAATTAGAGACAGAGGAAGCTCTGTTTGTCCTGTCAAGAAAAGTCACTGGAAAACAATAAGAGGAATAATCACATTAGGAAAAGGTGAGAGATCATTCAGAGGGAGCTTGTCATCATTTCTGAGCCTCTTCAGAAAGAAAGTCAGTAAGCCTCCCTATTTCCACCCACCTATCCATTTTGAAGTTACCATTCATATTTCCTCTGTGTCTTTTCAAAATGTTTCTGGTTAAGTTTCTTTCAGTTAGACGTCGGTAATCAAAGAAAAATTGCAGATAATAAGCATGCTTACTGATGACAGATACTTAAATGGAATATGACTTGTCACTTTTGTCTCAAACAGGGTTTCTTTATCTGAAAAGTATTCTTCTATAAAATGTCATAGTGGTACATTTGATATTTCCTTCTTATGTCACTTGGTCTAAGATGATGAATTTAAAAGACTGTTTTTTAACTTGATAGCTGCTACTCCTTTCCAAAGTTATCAACTGTAGTAAATTCTGAAAGCCAAATTACACCCTCTGCTACCAAAAATCTACTGCTAATCTAGCAACCTCTGTTTATAACTTTATCTATTATGTTTATATATGTTTATAAAACTGAAGGATTTTTTCAGCGAGGATCCTTTTGGTTCCCCAAGAGGAATGAGAATGCAGCTCGGTATCGCCAAGCTGTCTAGATTCTGGGAGGAGTGAAAAATTGAACCTGATATCATCTGGTGCAATGCTACATGCATTACAAGAGCAGATATCTTGAGTAAGAAATTAATATATATTCAAAATAAAGTTTGGAGTAGCATTATTACTTAAAAAAAATAATCCTTTCACAATAAATGCAAATGTTATCAAGAGCCAGACTTGGAAAAATGAAAAACCCACATTGACTTCCCCTGAAGCAGTACGAAGTCTAAAAGTTGGGTCCTAAATTTGTAATCTTTTTCACCAGTCTCCAAAGTGACTTGAGCATTTGTCATCAAGCAAAATTTAGTAGAGTAACTGTCATAGCCACCTTCTGGGGGAAAGAGATCCCTTGAAATAATGATCCTTTTGATTATTGTGGGTTACTGGAGAATCCAATCCTAGTTTATACTGTGAAGATCAAAGGCTTTGGGTGCTTCAGTCAGATGAGCACTTTTGACTATTTTTACCCATTTTATTCATTTTACAAAAATATCTGTTCACTAGCAAGCACGACCTGCTCTGTAGATTTGTGACCATTTAAAAAAAAACCCCTCAGGCTAAGTAAAAGAGAAACGAAACCGTAATTTGGTCTTTGTGCTACGGACTAGAGTTCTTTGTATAGGAGACAAACCCAGATCATGCTGGGTTTTTTTCTCCATAAGTGTTCCTTAGTAGCTGGCAAAGTACATTAAATCCACTTCTGTGTAAGTATATTAAATCCACTTCTGTGTACATTTTTGTGGGATATAGCTGTATTATATTGCTGTGACATCTGCAAATTCATAGAGCAGCAACATCTACAGTTGTTCATCTGTTCTTATTGTTTCCACATAATTTCATGCATCTCATGCTCTGCGCTTTTTGTGTGGTTAAGTTCTAAACTCTCAGCCAACTCAGATCAGCTGTGTATTAAACTGCAGAGCATTTAGCAAGATGCATGCAAGTTTCTGGATCCACACACTGTTTACTTTGTCTTCACTCATTATGTTATAGGGTCCTATTTCACTGAGCGCTAAAAAGTAATCCTGACTGCTTTTATGAGGTGCAACCTAATTAAAAGCTACATATATATCTTGCCACAGGTAAGCTCCTGAGAGGATTTGATCCTGTTTATCCCAAGAGCCTCTGGATTGACACAAAAACATTTTGCAATGGACTTCCTTTTCATATGGTTTTTGACAAAGAGGTAGGACAAGCGTGTGGTAAGGGCCCTTAGTTTGTGTAAACCATATAGTGATTTTCTTCTGTTTTGACTGTCCTGCAGATCGCTGCAGTGGGCGCTGCGTGCTGTGTATACAGGACACGCTCATTTGTAGGATTTGCAGAAGTGCTCTGCACAGAGCCATGCAATAAAAGTCACTTCTACCAACTGGATCTGGATCACTTCAGATAGGAAACCCTTTGAATTTAGTGAAATTACCATGTCTGAAACAGCTGCAGATATGCCAACAAGGCGTATTGCAGCCGTCTGTCCGTTACCAAACGGTGAACAGAATTTTCTGAGGTTTCTGGCCACCTTCCTGTCCTTGGATGTGCCAGAGACACGACCCATCCTTTAAACTGGCTTTATACGTAGAGCTAGTCACCCTCTCCTCCCAGTTACTTATCTATCCAAAGGCTTTTGTAAGGCTTTGCTGGCGACTGAGGCTCGACGTGCTTCCGAGTCTACTCCGACAGGCTTCTGCTGGGAAAACCCAGATACCTACTAAATCGGGCAGCATGCAACCCCATCTAATAGGAACTGGACCCAAACAGCTCTTTATCTTCCGGGGGGAGGACTGAGTCTCCTCTCCTGTGCACACATACCCTGCAGCAACGGAATTGGCTTTCCCTTGGCAGGGACTGCCCTGTGGCTGGTTTCCAGCTAGCCTGGGTTCCCTCCGAGCTACAGTTCCTCTTGCTCTCAACTCCATGCCGAGAATATTCACTTAAGACAGGAGCAAAGAAAGGAGAGGCTGAGAATAGGAAAGCAGAAGAAAGCTGAATACAGCCACGCAGGGAACGCGTTTTGGCTGCTAAAGGTTCCAGAGCACATAGTCTGCTTGATGCCACTGTCCACACTAGCCAAAGTTCTGAGTTTTAAACCATTCTCTACATCCAGCCTGCATAATTTGATAAAATTACTAGTGTGGAAAAAGGGCAAGTCCTGCACCCATTGTTGGTAGCTATGTCAGAGCTGCACTAACTCTGATGACAAGCAGTGAAGGCAGAGCGGACATTTCTGCGAGAGTTAAGAGCTCATGTATTGGCTAAAAGAGTGTGACTAAACCTTTCCACAGCAATGGTTAAGAGAAGGTAACCCATGGCATCCGTTAGAAAATTAATATTTGCCATGACATTTTATGCCACAGTTATTTTCCTTTTGGAATGCAGGACGTGCTCTGGTATCTCTAATTTTCTCTTGCAGCTACCTGTAAGGCTAGGTAGGCCTTTGTCAGGCCTACACAAATACAGGCAAGGATAATAGCAGATAGTTTTGTTTTGTTTCTAACCATTGATAGAGAAGACCACTTGGATAACAACATTCTTTTCTGGAGGCTTTGTCTTGCTATGAAGGACACTCACTCAGAGCTTTGCGGTAATACACTAATAAGAGAAACTTTGCTCAGAAATAAGCCGTGTGGCGTAGCGAGGCTAAGTGTGTGTACACGTATAAAAAGTGAGCAGCTATAGCTTGGCCTGAACCCAAACAGGATATGAATTGTAACACATTGTCCATATTTTCTTTTTAAGCTCAGAGTGAAGCAAGCTGGGGTGAGCATTCAAAAGATAGTACCTGGCCTTCAGACCACGGGCATCTGCTTGGATCGCTATTTCAGTATCCTTCACCCAGAAGTACCCTTCACCATCTCTAGCATTCAGAAATTCATCAACAGCCAATTTGTTTTCCAGACTAGAAGAGAGATGATGCCAGAGTCATGGAAACAACGGCCAATGCTACAGCTGAGAGGTACTTCCCTGTTTTCAATAGCGTAAGTGTTCATATTAAATCAGGAATTATGCTGGAATTGAACTAACGCATTTCTGTGGACTCCTGGCTTCACGTAAGTCCTATAAATGGGCTTGCCTTTGTGCAGTGAGATGAGGATTAGATGGTTCTGTTAAGAGAAACAGTACTTTAAGATGCTTGTAGACAAATTCTGCTATTACCTCACTAGATTTTGAAGGCTTTCAGTCAGAAATAACAACTGCACTCCCATTTGAAAGGCTTAGAAAGACAGTGTTTTTCTAATGCTGCAAACCCCACATCTTTGCATGTTTCCTGACTATCAAGGGCAGAGCCAAGGGAGGATTTCTGTTTTCTGAACCACCTCTAGTCTCAATTATTCACAGAGTCATAGAATTGACTCAACTCCAGTTGAGTTTGGAAGGGACCTCTGCAGGTCCCCACTCAAAGCAGGTTCAACTGGAGCAGGTTACTCAGGACCATATCTAGTTGGGTTTTGAATATGTTCAAGAATGGAGACTCCCCAGCCTCCTTGGGTGACTCATTCCAGTGTTAAACCACCTTTACAGTAAAAAGTTTTTTCTTGTGTTTAAATGGAATTCCTGCATTTCAATTAGTGCCCATTGTCCCTTGTTCTTTCATTGGATACCACTGAGAAGAGTATTTTTTACTCCCTCCTGTCAGGTATTTATACATATTGATAAGCTCCCCCTGAGGCTTGTCTTCTCCGGGCTGAACAATCCCAGCTCTCTTACCTTCTCCTTATATGACAGATGCTCCAAGCCTTCTCAGATCCTCCATCCTTTACTTCTTGAAAATAGTGACATCTACTTTCTTCCAGTCCTCAGAAACCTCCCCCTGTCACCCTGACTTTCAAAACTAACAGAGTGGCCTTGCAATGACACTGGCCAGCTCCCTCAGCACTCCTGGATGCATCACATCAAGTCTTGTGGACTTCTGTATATCCAATTTGTATAAATGTTTACTAACCTGAACCTCCTGTGCGAATGGTAGGTCTTCATCACTCCAGACTTTCCCACTGGTCTCAGGGCCCTGTGATTACTGAAGGGTGCTTCTTACCAGCAAAGACTGAAGCAAAGAAGGTGCTGAGTACCTTGGACTTTTCCTTATCCTTTCTCAGCAGATCCCTTGCCCCATGCAGCAGCAGACCCACATTTTCACTAGTCTTCCTTTTGCTGCTCATATACCTGTAGAAGCTCTCCTTGTTCCTCAACAGATACAACCCCAAGTGGGTTTTGGCTTTTTCAACTGTCTTCCTCTGGGGTGACCTCACCCACCTTTCACCTCTTGTACTTCTTTCTTTTTTATGTTTGAGTTTAGTCAGGAGCTCCTTATTAATCCCTGCATGCCCCTGCCACGTTTGCTTGACTTACTGCACATCAGGATAGACCATTCCTGAACTTGGAAGAGGAGATCCTTGGAAAAAAAACATCTCTTCTGGACCCTTCTTCTTTCCAAGACTGTATCCCATGGGATTCTTCCAAGCATATCCCTGAATAGGACAAAGTCCAGTCTCCCAAAGTCCAGGGCTGCAATCTTGCTTTTTCACCTTGTTCACTCCTCTGAGGTTCCTGCACTCCACCATCACGCAGTCATTGCAGCCAAGGTTGTGCCCAGTTTTCACATTCATAGTTCTTCACTGTTTGTAAGTATCAGGTCTAGCAGGACACCTCCCCTCATCGGCTTATCAGTCACTTGTGTCAGGAAGCTCACCCATCAGTGCCTCGGTGCACTCCAGAAACCTCCCAAATTGCTTGTGTTGTCTGTCTAGCAGATATCAAAGTAGCTAAAGTCTACCATCAGACTTCCTCCACTTGTTTTAAGAAGGTCTCATCTACTTTTTCTTCATGAACAGGGCATCTGTAGCAGAGACCCATCACGACTTCACCCACACTGGTCTGCTCTCTAATCCTTATCTAGAACCTCTCAGCTGGCTCATTGTCCAGCCCTAGGCGGAGCTCCTTGCATTTCCCTTGCTCTCTCACACAAAAGGCAGCTCCCCCTCCTTGCCTGCCTGGCCATTCTAACGAGTCTTTGTTCATCATTTGCAGTGCTCCAGGTGTGTGAACTACCCCACCAAGCCTCCATGATCCAAATGATGTGGCAGCCCTGAACCTGCCCACAGACCTCTAGTTCCTCCTGGTTTTTCCCCATGCTGTGCACATTTGTGTACAGGCACCTCAGAGAGGTCCTCAGTCGTGCCCATTTCCCAGAAAAGGTATGAGAGTTTTCCCCACAATGCTGCCCTGTGTGTTTTTCTTTGCAGAGGGTAAAACCAAATCTATAATGCAAGGCATTACTCTAGGGCGATTCCTGCAACACGGTTGTATTGCCACTCTTGGGTTTGGTTGGGATTTGATGCCAGTTGACCTGTGAATCTCCCCAGCCCTCACCTACGGCCTTCTGCTTCACTGGGGACCTGTGGAAGGGACACAATGCCAGCCCTCAGAGCCAGCTTCTGCTTGTGGAGCCACCGGGCTCAGCATGGAGATGCGCTGAGCTGTGCAAAAGTAACCGTCCAGGTCTTGCCTCCCCATAGCTCTACACATCAGCCTGTGCACCCGACACAGAATTGCTTTGCCCTGCTAAGAATTTTACTGCTTTGTACGTGGAACACCATCTTACACCCAGCCACCTGGCACAGGTCTTGGATGGCATCTTTGGCAGGTACAGACGACGATGAAACACGGGGTGAGCGTTCCCGCGGTAGTTCACCACCAGCATCGCTCCTGCCAGCGCCTGCTGCCCGTCTGCCCGGCGAGGGAAGGGGCGGGGGAGGAGGGGAGCGCTTAGCGGCAAAGTCCTGATAACGTGGGTACAGCTGGAGGAAAGAAATGGCTTCCTCTGCGCCTCCATTCATTTTGATTCCTAAAATGCGAATACGTGATTCATTCTTAATGTATGCCTTTGAGGGGAGTTATTTGCTACTGGCTGGGTTTCAAATGTGGATAAAAATAGATTAGTTAGCTGTGCTTTTATTTTTTTGTAGTCGCATTTTCAGATTCTGATTTCTGTCTTCGCCCTCCCCACCAATGTTATGTAAGAGTTTACCAGTTCAAATTACTTAAGCAAAAAACATATTTTATTTGCTTTATTTTTACTAAGAGGAATGAGTATGGAATTATTCTCTGCTTCCTGTAATTAACTAAAATGACATTTGGTTTAAGTGTTCTGTGACCTCAATTTTACTTCTCTGAACTGTATAATATGACCTAATTTTCCCTTCTCTTCTTTCACCTTTACATAATGAGTGTCAAATCTGGTATTCCTGAGATTCAGAAAAAATTAAGAGTTTAGGGAGACCTTGAAAAAAGTGATGTTACCAAAACAAGGAACTTTAACTAGTCACAGGTACAGTCTTAGTTCCTCTTATGCTGTCAGGATTAATTCACATGGGATCTCTGATATTCCAATCCTGTTAGTTTTCAAGCTGTTCATCCAGTTGCCTTGGGGATGGGGTGAGAGAGAAAGAAAGAAATAGGAATTCCTAGATTGCTGTTCAGAAACCAAGGATACTTATGAAGCAAATTAATAATAACAACAACAGCAGCAGCAGCAGCAGCAAAATATAAAAAAATCAAACCCATAATCAAATCTCAACAAAGAAAACAAAAACTCAATCCCCTACCAAAAATCTCTTCTACCTTTCAGGCATTTTTTACACCTGCTTATTTAGACGATCAGAGTGACTGAAAGCTCCAGGTTCCAGGCAGGAAGGCTCCATTGACTTTACTGGGGCTACATTTTACCCACTGTGAAATTAAACTTTAAATATTTCACTTAATCTTTGTGAGTCTCAGTTCCCCTGTGCATGATGCTGACACACTGGCTTCAGGAACAGCTCAAGAAGAGAGGGAGAGGGAGAGCGAGAGCGAGAGGGAGAGGGAGAGGGAGAGGGGAGAGGGAGAGGGGACCACAAGTTCCTCATGAAGAGGAGGGCCCTGAAGAATGGTTGGACTCTGCCTAGCAGTTGGAACGAGTGAGTGACTGCTTTCTGGTTCCTGAATTTTTTTTTATTTGCTTAGTGTACCTTCTCCAAACAAGTCCACCTCTAAGTGGAGTAATTCCTGTGATGATCTGGACCCTACAAAAAGCCACTGCCCTTAGAACACATCCCCTAAAATTAATAACAGTAGTACTGAGCATCACGTGAAAGTCCAAGCTGCTGAAAACTTACCGACACTTGTTTCAAACAGGCCAGATGATCTGGATGGAGTCCCTGCAGTGCATGCTCTACCTCTGCTCACCTTTGCTTCGCACTTTGCATGAACTGGAGGAGCGACAGATGCATATTGCAGACATTGCACCTCACGACGTGACCAGGGATTTGATTCTTCTCAATCAGCAGCGACTGGCAGAGATGGAGCTCTCTAACCAGTTGGAGAGGAAGAAGGAAGAACTGCGGATACTGTCAAAGCACCTAGAGGAAGAGAAAAAAAAGACCGAAGCTCTGCTCTACGCCATGCTTCCTGAGCACGTGGCCAACCAGCTGAAAGAGGGGAAGCGAGTTGAGGCAGGTGAATGAATAGGATGCGTTTGTGATGCATATTTCGTGTGCCAGATGATAGTGAAAGAGAGACTGGGGTGCTGGCACAGGCCTATTGCCACTGTCATGGAGTACATTCTCTACTTGGTGACGTTCATGGGTAGGAGGAGGACCACAAATCCTTTATCTCACTGATAACAGAGCTTAGACTATTCTTTCAAACAAAGCTTTGGAAGCTATTTGCCAAAATTGTTCCTTAGGGAGTGAAGTGTGGTGGCAGCTGCCCATTCAGGAAACAAAAGTCAGTGTTTCAACAGTAAACTGAGATTTTGTTTTTAATGTGGGTATACAGGGAAATGGGCACTCAAAAATGAAAGGAATAAAGAGATTGGTCTTTCATAGAGGATTCTCTTAGTTCCTCTATGCTATCTATAAACCTAGAATCATGATTCCCATTGTTATTAAGGACAGCAAGTAAGACTATGCTTAAATTCCCTTTAGTAAGCACATATATGAAGTTAGGGGTAAAGAGCTAAGTACATCCTGAGTATGGATGGACAAAGAGATGCATTCAGATGTCTGGATTATTTGAGAAGTGCGATGATTCTTATATTTGATATAGTCTTATACTGACACCTCTCTTTTGTATCAGCACCTGATATGAGTATTACAACTGATAGGTCATATGTCCTAAAAGAATGACGAGGAAGTAATCTTTGCAAAGGGGTCTCAAAGAGATGTCGTGATTGTCCAGCCATTACAAGTACTTACTGCTGGTCTTTCTGCTCACAGGAGAGTTCAAGGAGTGCACTATATTGTTCAGCGATGTTGTGACCTTTACCAACATTTGTGCCCAGTGTGAACCTATTCAGATAGTTCTCATGTTAAATTCAATGTACCTGAGATTTGACAGACTGACCACGGTGCATGATGTGTACAAGGTATGTACTGATTGATAAAGGCTGTAGAAATAGTCTAGAAAAAGATTTTGTTGTTGCGGGGTTTTTTGTTTGTTTTTAAATGCACTTAAATCCTTTTGCCCCCAGTGTGATTTTTTGATAAACCATAAAATACTGCATATTTCTAGTGGCCACACAGAGAAACTAAAAAAGGGGGCCAAGGTGAGAGTAAATACGTTTAAAATCTTCGGTTGGGAATGTAATGTCTCTAATGGGCTAGAGTCTCTTTCCACAACGCTAACACCAGAATGGCTGTTCTTTCATACATCTCTCTCCTCTTCTCAAATGCCTACCCAGCATGACAGGATAGCCTAGTTTATGGACCAATTTGAATAATTTTCGTAGGTTTTTTTATTCCAACCTGTTGTAAACAGGTCACTATATCATTAAGTGTCTCCTTTGGTGGGAAATAACAATATAAACAATATCCAGATAATACCTAGACTTTGTTTTGCTTCATGGAGATCTTAGGCAATGGTATAGATCTGCTGGTCCCAAAGAGCATTGATTAGATCTAGACTGTAACGTACGCGTTGTCTGCAAACCATGCTGGAAGGATCAGAGCCCTGGTTGACATATAATAGTAGTATTATTAACACCTCCAGAGCTACTGAGATTTGATGAGCTCGATCAAGTCCTAAGTTTCTCTCTGTCCCCAGCACATTAAATATTTAGGAAGGCAGAAATAGTAAAGGGTGAAATCCAGATCTCGTTCATTCCTTGCTCAGGCAAGGCATGCCGTTCATCCCGCAATAAATTGTACTGGGAAATCAGAAGCATTTCTGCCTTGGCAAGGAAACTGTATTCAATAATTGAAGCATCCAGGATATGGCCCACAGATTTTAGGATAAATTAGCATCATATTCTATCTAAATCATACATCAGGAGTAAATTATCTGTCACTATAATAATCTCCTTTTGATGCCTGTATATAACTTGTATTAATATTGAAGGAGGTTACCAGGGTACAGAGAGGGAGGATGAGATTACTATTTCAGGGAGTTGAGAAAGAAATGAAATATTGAAATTGATCAAAGAAAGTTGGCCCAAGCTTATAAACATCTGAAGTTAGGAATAAATCTTGTTAAATTAAACCTCCTACCATGGCCGAAAAATAATTAGGGTATCTATTTGCATTAGTAGCTTTTTTTACAGTTGTTTTTAATTTGTTACAGGAAATTACTAGCATTACTATGGGGTTGGCTATCTGATAGAAGGCATGTACAGGAACATATTTTTCAAGACTAATGTGCTGAACAGTTTTAAGTCATTATGTTAATGAACAAACCCAAAGATGAAATTATGTTCCTGCTCTCCTATTGGTGTTCATTTTTAAGAAATCCAATTAATCTAATTCAAACTCATCTCTTATTTAGTGATGGTAAATGTAACAATAAAATCTCATAAGAGCAATTTAGAAAATTTCCTTACCGTGTAACAGTCTTTCACAGTGAATTTTAAACATTTGAGAATTCTCTGTTTCAAACAGGCCTATTCTGTTCCCAGCAAAATCTCTGGTACAGGAACAAACCCCAAAATATTTCTCAGGCGCCTTGTCACGCGCTCCAAGGAGACTGGATGCCTGAAGGAGGACAAACCCTTCAGCATTTGTCTCTCAGACTGCAGCACGTTGTGGGAAAACAGCAGGTTGTAAGGAAGAATGCTCCCAAACTGCTTAGTTCACACTTTGCATTCTCTGACATCCTGGAGCCCGGAGGTTTCTTAATTTCATGTGAACCCCTTAATAATAATCACCAGTGAACAGAAGCCCTTGCTTTATTGTGGCTTTTTAAAAAAGAAATCTCTTTTAAGAAAGAAATACTCTTGTAACACCAATTGTGAATTAGAGCTAATTAATAGCATTCAGCTATCAGATAACCTCCTGGCTCAGGAGTCTGTGCCAGGGGATAGCTCTTTGCATATAGGTCTGCCCTGGGTAAGAGTTTGACGCTTTCACAGCATCCCTTACTCCTTCGGGTCTCTCACACTGATATAAAAAATGGGTCGAGTAAGCAGGGACAGAATGAACGCACTGAAATTTTTAGTGTAGAGTCAAGGAAAGGATCCCCATCTCAAGGAAACTCACATGTGGTAGAGCTTTTTAGTGACTGGAAACATCTTTTAGAAGAAAGGGGGAGTTGGTGCAGGTAAGAAGAACCCAAACAGCAAAGCACTGACCTGAGCAAGATGGCATGCTCATATGTGTGTCCCTCTCAATTAAAGGTGGAGACAATTGGAGACGCCTATATGGTAGTAGGTGGGGTCCCTGTGCCTGTACCCACTCATGCTGAGCGAGTTGCTAACTTTGCCTTGGGAATGATAATAGCAGCTAAAGGAGTACAGAACCCAGTTTCTGGAAATCCTATCCAAGTAAGTTGTTAACGCAAAGATGCATGTGTGTCTGTCTGTGTCTTGGGTTTGGCTTCTGGTTAACGTATTGCAGTACGACATCAAAGAGTTTCTTCCAACTCCTCTGTGACATTGGGGAATGCCCACATGAGTACGTTTTTCACGAAGAGCCTCTCCCTGTGGATATTTGATATTTTACTGGTGTCCAGTGTCGTGTTAGGATGAACTTTTAGGTGGCTGGATATCATTAAGAAAGATGTTAAATAATAAGTGACATTTTTGGGGGGTGTTTTATGTCTTTGTAAAGATTAGAGTTGGGATCCATACAGGTCCTGTCTTGGCTGGAGTTGTTGGAGAAAAGATGCCTCGTTATTGCTTGTTTGGAGACACGGTGAATATAGCTTCCCGGATGGAGAGTCACGGTGTCCCAAGTAAAATTCATCTAAGCTCCAGTGCCTATCAGTGAGTAACTATGATGGAAGCTTTTCCTGTTAAAAGCTGTGCTAAAAAACACTGCATTGACAGCTGCAGCTTTCAGATGCAGATGATGCTGTCTTCAGTCATGTTATTTATTTATGCAGCTTACTTATAAAGAAAAGTCACTGCTTGCAAAGAGTTTTATTTTTTCTGATTATTTCAAAGGCACTTGTATATCAAGACTGAGGTTTGAGAGTCTCAATCCTAGAAAGCAAAATGCAGGGAAAAAGAAAATTGTGATAGCTTATTTGGAAATACCGATAGAGTGATGTACATGCTAGAAGGACAGTCAGAACATTTAATTTGACAACCTGCATAACAAAAACTTTAAAATCTCTCTGATTGAGCACAACAATTTGTGGCAAAATGGGGTTATTTGCACTTACTAAGGATTAACTGCATAAACCACTATCCTATTCATGCAATGAGTAATCTACTTTCCTAAAACTCATGTCACTAAAAATTAAACACTACTTTTTCAAGAATTTTATCTGTGCATAAAATATGTTTGCAAGAGGTAGAAGTGAAGACAAGCTAAAAAGCTATGTCAGTCCCAGTGAAAATTAAGTCCTCTTGGAAGCCATTTTTTGGACACATGTAGGTGGCAACTGGGAATAGCCAGTGTGGATTTATGAGGAGTAAATCATGCTTGATGAACCTGATTGCCTTCTCTGATGAAATGACGAGATAGTTCTGTCTAACTGGTATTGGCTGCCTCACTTCTTAAGTTCTATTTACTGGTCAGTAAGAACCCTTCACCATACTGAAGTATTTGACTATGTGATCCATTGATTTTTGATCAGGCTGTATGTGTAAAGCTATAAAAGCACATCAGGCTTGAATAAACAGTTGAAACAAACCGTCAGTTGTTCACGGATCAATACTGTTTTTCCCGGACTGTTGTGATTTGATTACTTAGATTACAATAGCTTTTCTAAAACATCGGTGTCATTTTTGCTAATCTTGAATTTTCATGTGTCATTTTGCTTCTGATATTTTAGATGCCTAAAATACAAGAATTTTGAGATGACCGAGAGAGGAGAAATAGAAGTAAAAGGCAAAGGGAAAATGCACACATACTTCCTCGTTAGAAATAAAACTGCAACTGAGAATGAGATAATGGGAAGGCCAATGAAAGGCTTAGATTCTGGCCATGATTCTGTTCAGTCCTTTCAAGAAGGCAGGGCTGAAACAATACCAAGTTGTCATCAGCCAGGTAGAGTCAACTCCACGTATCTTTCCCTCCTTGAACAAGGGAACATTAATACAACTCAATTAAATATCCTTTTCTGTTCTTCTTTCAGTTACTCAGACGCAGCTAGAGAAGGACCAGACCCCAGCTATTGCAATGAAGTATAGCGATGGCCCCACAGATGCACAAAACAGCTTCAAAAGAAGAAATCAAGCGAAAATTGCAGATTTAAGAGGTAGTTATTTAGTTACCATCTAGCAAAGACAACAGAACTAGGAAGTAACTGAGGCTTAATCTTACAGCTTTATTATAGCCAGAAATTCACGCCAACATATCCATGTTGGTGAACCTAACCATTCTGCACACTGTGTAGGGCCAAACAAATTCCCCCGCAGAGCAATCCCAGGTGTTGATTGTGCACTAGGGAGAAAGAAGCTGACATAGCTGTCAACGCCCGGAGTGCTGGTAGTGCAAACAGAAGGGATAAATGGTAGACAGCTCTTCACATGGGCAAACCCTGATTGTTCATGTACACGTCTGTACTACAACCTTGCCTTGCAAATCCAATACAACATCTTCTCCTAGAAAAGCTGCCGTTATTATTTGTGGTTATGGGGAAGCCCGTATCAACTCAAAGCTGAGAAAGAGAAACCTCAAAGGCTATGCAGCCTGTCGGTCCCCAAGCCAGTCTCCTGCAGGGGTTAGAAGGATTTATTACCATGCCCATGTTCTGCGACCAAAGTTCATTCTCCTTTGAAGTAGCCGATACTGAAAGAGAGATAATGGATTTGATGCCATAACAGCCTAATCTAATGCAGTAAGTCTTGTAATTCTATTTACGTTTTGTGGATTTTATACAGACTAAATATATTGTCACTGATTACTAGAAAATATTTTCCTGCCTTCCCTCCCACCTGCTTAGACATGGTAGTTAATCTAGTATATGGCGTGCTGACAAACAGAAACCCCTACAGTCATTAAAAACTCACACTGAAGGAGTGTTTCCTTTCAGGCAAAACTTATGATTCCAAAAGCGATGGGAGTCTCCATGGCAACGAGCATGCAGATGATGGTTCTTGTCCTCTAAACCGGGGAAGAGTCAAACCTGCTACTGAAGAGTCACAGATTAGAAACGTTCGTTCTAATTTTTGCAGTTTACTCTAAGTTTCTTACTTTTTACATTAAACAGAGCAATTTTATTGTAATTTAGTGCATTTTGCTGTTGTGGGACTGATTTTATATATTGAGTACCACATGATTTTGTAAAAAAAAAAAAAAAAAGACAAAAAAAGACAATTCATCACAGTTTTCAACAAAAAGAAAACAATGGAGGATATTTTTTATTTAATCGATCTACACATGTCATATAATGCTCCCACTGGAGAATGAAACCACCACAAGATGCTTTGAAGACATATCTTTCAGGCTCTGCCATGTCTTTGAATATCCCTAAGTAAAAATCACTTTTTGGTATGTCATGCAGCAAATTGAGAAAGAGGTGACTCATCAAGCTAGAAATATTCCTACTCAAATGAGCACTTGCCATAAAAGAAACATTCCCTGAAGTGACCATCTGTCTTGACTTTAGCACAGCCAACAACTTATCCGTGTAAGGTTAGCAGAGTTTGATCTACATTTTAACAGTTTGATGTCCTAGCAGGTCTTTTATTGGGTAAAGGCATTATGCAGTAGAAGTGAAGAATAGATCTAATACAACCTGTATTTTTCCATCTGGAAGAGAAAATACTGTGCACTTCACAGCACACAGCAGTAAAAACCCATCTGCAACCTTTGAACCAGCTGTCCATGCTGTGCTTAGATGATCGTAGGACACATACACTGTGGAGTTACATAGCATCAAATTTGTCAGAACACTGAAGGGTTGTTCAAGGCCTGTGAACTATTTGAGACCTTCAAACAAGTTGCAAGTTTATTTCTCATTTTCTCACTCCAACTAAACAAAAATAAAGTTTCAGGACTTCAGAGGGAGCCCATCAGTGCTGGAATTAATGTTAACATCATTGAAAATAGCAGTGTTAAAAAACAACATCACTTACCTGGTGTCAGAGGCTCCTCAGCTGAATTACTTCCATGCTGCTATATTCTTAGATTACAACTGATCAGAAATGTCAGAGAAAAACTGAAGTTCAGCTGTCAGGGCTTTAAGATGTAGGAGCAAAACCACAATGGATATAAAGTTTGTGGACAATTTGGCGCATCAGAAATTGTGGTCTCACTCCTATAAATGGAGCTTGGAGTAGGTGGAATGTGCTCGTATTGGGTGACTTTGACAGGAGGTGTGTCCTGCACACCGATTTATTCCCTTTGGACGTGGATTCATTGCCTAAAGATGCAAGCAGGAGACCCATTTGAACTTTGAATGAGAACTCACTGGAGAAGATGATGATGTTACTCCTCTGTTACAGTCTGGAGCATCACATTTCCACCTCTGTGCCTGCAGCAAGAGTGAGGCTCTTTAAACACCAGACAGAGAGGTAGGACTGATGAAAGACATCTCCTCTCTGTAATATAGCAAGATGAAATTTCACCTGGTTAGATTTTCTTTTTAAATCTCTGAGGCAGTAGCTCCCTTGCCTAGGTGCTCTACAGCTCTGTCTATGTTAGCAAGTAGTGCAGACCAGTAGAGGAAGACATGTAGAGTGAAAAATGTTGTCCACACTATAGATATTTCAGAGGGCTTGCAAGTGTGGTCCCACTCACTGAATACCTGTTAGCTTTTGGAGCACCTTATAAGCACATCCTGTGACTTAGTTTCGTCCAGAAGATATCCATTCATGTGCTCTGAGACCACTCTACAATGTGAAACAAAGTACGGTAAGTGGGTTTGACCAAGAAATCCACTCAGGAGGGTGCTCCTGACTCTGAATGCTGCTGTAGGTGCACCCTTTAACATTAGCACTTTCCACGGTACAACGGAGCAGCACTATTCTGGGAGAGCGCAGTTTTATGAATGGCAGGATTTATTTATTTATAAGGATTTTGCTATCTAGGCACTGTTCATTATTTTGGTGAGGGCGAGATCTACTGTAGGTTGAAGATGCATCTAGGGATTATTATTACGTTGGATATTATGATTTTAAACATTTGACTGTGTGATACCCTCAGACACACAATGTCCTAATTTCACTATCATCCTTAGTAACTCCTCCCCACTGGCACAGTGCTCATGGCTTTGCACTTCTGTATTGTGACCATAGCTTTAAAAAGACTTTCTTAAAGAAAGATAACACCCAATTTCTCTCTCGCTTACAATGATGTGAATGTGAAGTAACAGTTAAATCGGCACTATCCCATTGATTCAAGTTGATAATCAACTCTGACAAGACTTTGTCTCCAACCCAGAGTCGCATTTCACTACTCTTGACTAGTTGTGCTGATGGAACAAAGAACATGTCGTTTAACAAATGGCAGTGGTGGACTCTGTCTTTATCGGCATTTGCTCTGGACATTTAAAGCCACTTAGCCGCAAGCACAAGCCTGACACAGGAGTGTACATCTCAGTGGCCAGTGCTAATGCAGGAGGGAACCTCTTGCTGTCTCACCCACTCTTGCAGTCCTGTACCTGCGCGGCTGAATATCACTGACCATCTCTCCAAAAGGAACGATTTCCAATTGGAAACAGTCCATAATCCAACAAGCGTGGCCATCGGTGACTAGGATTTAGTGTATATTGCAGAGTGGGTTTAGGTAGAAGCCCAGAGCCCAGAGCTCCTCTGAACTTCCTCTTGGGAAGAAGAAAGGATGGACCGTGGCTTATTTGCTGCCTGTGTCTCTCTGCCCAAACTTTAACACTTGCTTTGCTCATACCTGCCCTTTGCACACTGAACAATCTATGAGTGTTTGATATTGGAATGTTTTAATTGCCAGTAAGTGCTCCATGGTAAGTGACTTCATGCTGTACTGTGGTAAAACTGATGTGCTAAGTGGTTTTTCTGTGGCCTCTGCTACAATCTGGTTCTCCTGGAGATGCAAAGCTAGGTCAAATCTGCACAACTGCTTTGAAAAAATAATGTTCCTGTGCATCATCATATGTTCTTAAATCTGTGGGCACTGCTAAAGACCGCAAAAGTATCATTAAAAAATAAATCTTTCCATTAATATACTGATGGCCATTTGTCAATGATTCCTTTGATTCCTTTCCCTCTTTTCCCTTCCACCTTTTCTGTTCATTTGCCCTATGAGTATACAAAAGTTTAAGACCATTATACCTATAATAAGTGTCCAGTGAGTTTAATTTCTTGACCATGCACAATGTTATATGCATTTGTGTGACATCGAAATCAGCATCCCACTACAGTTAACACTGTCGCACGCTTACTAATACACAGTCTTTGTGTCAGTGACCTGTCTACATTGAATTGACACAAAAAGGGTGGGAGAAAAGAATTCCCATTGCTGCTTCATGGAAGCTGAGGCTTAGAAGACTTAAAAGTTGAGATTTTCGAAAGCTGTCTAGAGCATATGGAACCCCAAATCCCATTAAAGCTGGTGTTCAACCATGAATTTTCAAAAGCGCTTGGGTAACTCAAAGGTCTAGGGGACAGATTTTCAAAGACATTTATTGTTACTTTGCTAAGTGAAATCAACTGGATTTATGTACTTCACTGAGCACATATGCAGTGTCCTGTTTCTGACGATGAAGCTTTCATTAAAACATTTAAAAAACATTTCCCTGTAAATGCCTTCTAAAAATATTTCCATTTAGAAGGCATTTACATGCCTTCTAAACATGGGGTTACATGGTTTACATGAAACTGTAACCCCATTTGCTGGAAATCACTGATTCGTTACTGCTGACATTACAATGCAACTCTGTATGGACCCAAGCTGAAAATAAAATCCACAAATAAAATAGCAGTGAAATTGAAATTATTACTTAATTGGTGAGAATATATTACAAATGTACTTGAGTATACAAAATATTATTAATTTAAAGAGTATACAAAATATGATGAACTTAAAAATGAAAAAAGGAGCACAGATTTTTAGAGAAGTATAAAACATTATGGAAAATCCAGAAGGGATTTTTTTCCACCAGGTCTCTGCTTTCACTTTTGAAGGCTCAAAACTTCAAGAATAGACAATGACATCAAAATCTTCAAAGTTACTGGTAAAAACATCTACTGTTTATGCATGCTCTGTGCAATAGCCACTCATCAGTGCTGCCTGTACATAAAGCCATGTGCAGTATTTTTGGTCCATAAATACTTGTAATCAAAATAAACACATAGGACACTATCTTTACTCATATGACTAGAGCTAGCAAGTACTTCTCATTTTTTACAAGCGGTTTGTAGTTCTCTCTCACATTTATTTTGCATCCGTTTGCTGAATTTCTACTAATGATTCTTGATCCAAGCCATGCTCAGAAGACATTCCTGAAAAATTCTGATATTAAAAATTCTTCCTATTTTGACTTACTGTGTGGTCTCTAGTCTCTGACTGGGTGGACACACCAAGTCAGAAACAGTTTTGCAGTCACACTTGCATAATGACTATTACTTATTTTCCCCTGTGCTCCCTTGGAGATGAACCCCAAATGGACATAAACAGTCATTACCAGGCTTTGCAGAAATTCAGAGTAATATTATGAGGGCATTACAGGTTCAGTTAATTTGCTGCATTAATATTGTTAAGTTTAAAAGTTTCACATGCAGAGAAAACCTCACAGGCTCTTTAACAGCTCTTGTTTTGTCATTTGCATCAAATACCTTTCTGGCAAGGGAATCGGCAAACGCAAGCGGTGACATGGTTTCCTTTTTTTGTGACAAACACATCAAAACCAGCTTCAGCATCCTGTTTATAGCAGTCCTAAGGTGAGGGATCCTTGAGATGTGTTGCACAGAAGCTACTTTGTGGAGGTACCTTTGCTATCATGTGGCTTCATTGCGGTGTACGGGCTTCCAGCTGGCTTTGTCGTGGCTTCCATTTCCTTGCTAAACATCGGGCCAGTGACCCGAAACACGGGCTGGGTGATGCTCTGCAGGCACCTTGCCAAAGCGTTTTGCAGGAAAGGAACCTGACACGTAGCTATCATTTAAGGCCAATTTATCTCAAGAATCAATGGGCCTTTAAAAATTCACCAGCTCACATATCCTTTTCAGTGATGGTAGTTAACTGCTTTGTGCTCTGATTTTGTGGGC